CTCCGTCTCGGTGCCTTCTTCGGGTGCATGGGCTGGCTCTGTTCTGTCGACCCAGCTGCTGCTGCTGCTGTTGTTGCCCCTGTGTCGCTGCTGCTGCTGCGGCGGCGGTTTTTGCTGCCACCGATCATACACGCTCTCGCTGCTGTTGCTAGTTTTTGTGTTACCTCTTTGCTACTGTTTCCGCTGCCCCTCCCTCCGCAGGCCCTTCAATCAGGAGCTTTCGAGGGCGTTTGGGAACGACCCGCGGTGGTTATGGGGGTACTGAATACACCCCACCGTACGCACGTCATGACGGGTGGACAGACCAGCATGCGAAGAGGAGGGACGAGGGAAGGGGAGAGGAAAGGGTGCGTGGAGCGAGGAGAGAGGGATGGGCGATGGGGAGTCCTCACTGTGTGGCGCGGTCGGTAATAGTAGCCACAGTGCTGCTACCTCATACACACATACCTCCCACCACCGGCTTCTGTATACGGGCGGATGGAGGAGGGCCACATGCGGCTGCTGCTGCTGCTGCTTTTTGCCGAGGTTTTGCGCTGCTACACAAGATATCGTGTCATATCATATTTATCATATCTAGTGTCGTAATCACCCCTGCATTGCTGAGCCCGCACGACTGATATGTGCAAGTTTTCCAGTTCCTACATGTCCCGTCTTCCTTGCAAGCGTCCTTCTGATCCTTATCGTTATCATCGTTATCATCATCATCATCATCATCATGCGTCATCGTGATCGTCTTTTGGGGGCAAGGGCTGGCAAGGGGCCGGGTGTTTTACACCACCACAAACCAGACGGCCCTAGTTTAGAATCCTGGAGAGCGCACTATCACGGGATCTGACATCTGCAGCTGCCGATCGGTACTTTTCTGAAGTCGTGATATAGCACCCCGTAGTGGTGGGTCTAGCCACTTGCAGCCCAGTGCCGTACAGCGTCCCCTGCGGAATACTGCGGGGCAACTCCTTGCTACACCCGGGCCGAGGGCCCTTTTCGGCTTCGAAGTAGCTGACTACACTCCACTCACCAACTATTTCTGGTCAACCGCAATCAGTGAATAGCCCCGCGGTGCACGCGCACATCCAGGCATCCGCAGCAAATGAAAGGGTTGGGCGGCCGGGCAAATCCCAACGATGAAATAGAATAAGGTGATTCAACGCAGCATGCCGTACTCGGCGATTTAGCTTACCACCACATTATACCTTCAAACCTTCACAGACGTACGAGGAGTGGTGTAACCATCGTGTACATAGCACTACCTCCATCACAAGCAAAAACTGATGCATGAGAAACAGCAAATGCCATACAGCAGTCCATGCGCAAACGCAGCCCTGATCCTCACCCCACCGCTGCAACTTCTAAAAGGAAGCACTACGGCTGCTTCATCAACTCGCCTGAACCCTTGTTAGGGATGCATACACGGGACGACAATGCACCGCGAAACGCTCCCATTTCGACGCTTCATCATAAAGGGAATGGATTAGATATCATTGCCCCCTGCCACGACGGAATCAAAACA